GAGCAAATTCACTTTCCATACAGCAGTTTACACACATGTTATCATGACATTGACTACAATTTACCCCAATCCAAGAGCTCCCCTCCCACTTCCTTCTAATAGTTACCTCTTCCCTGTGTCCATCCCTCCATGCACTCCTGCCCCCTGAACTGTCTCCCTGTGCATAAACAGCCCATCTTTTTCCCATGATTGTTCTCTCCAAGGAGTGTATCTACCTCAGATACATGTTCAACTCTTACGCCTATCTTTTGTTTGGCTGGAAGCCACAGGTGTGGGTTCAATTCCATACCTGAAGGGCAGCTAGGGACCATAGTCTCAGTGGTTCCACCAGGCTCTATCAGACCAGCAAACCTGGTCCCTTTTTATTTTATTTTTTTTCCAAATGATTTTGTGTTTTATTCTGCATCGTTCTCCCTTTCTATCCAGGATCTCCTACATAGATCCCCCTCCAAGTGGCTCACATTGGTGGCCGGGCACCATCTAGTTCTTCTGGTCTCATAGTCATATAGGCTGAGTATTGCATGGTGTACCAGTCGTAAGGACTAATTATTTCCATGAATCTTTGGTTTACTTCATTCTTCTTTGCTCCAACCAAGGAGAGACCCATCATTGCATCTAGATAGCTGCTTGCAAGTTTAAGATCCCAATCACTACTTGCCAAAGTAGGAGGTGGAACAATATTTTGTGCAGTATGTTATGCCATTTGAGCTTGATGTCCCTGTGACTAGGGTCCTGAGGCATAGTTCAACTACTTGGTCCCTCTGGGTAGCTGGCTGTGACCAAGAAGTGATTACAAACTTGTCCCTTGTCAGCTCTACTATTCCCCTGGGAATTCTTACAAAACATACAAATACACTTGTAGAACCATTGTCTGCCAACCTTATACATGGTCTTGTGTACACTCCCTGCTGCATAGACATACCTAATAGTTCAGCCTGTCCACCCATCTAACTACCCATATACCCATATTTCCCTTCACTGACAACGCAGTACTGTATGTGCAAGAGGGTTTATCTTTGTTGTCTGCACCTCCCATTTACCTATCTATGTCTTCCTCTTCCTCAATGCCACCATGTTGATCAGTCACATTTGATACATTGCCCTTCTCTTCCCCCAAATCAATATTTATCTCTACCTATCAGTGTTCCCTACCCTATTCTCCCACCCCAGGTAACAAAAAAAGAAAATTTCCTTCCATATATAAACCATTCCTTGACTTTTACAATAATGGACTAATGTAAATCTGTTTTTTTAATCTTACTTTTACTGATGGGTATGAACTACCAGCCTTTTGGTTAGCAGTCAAATGCCTGAGGCACTATGCCACCAGAGCTATCTCTCTCTCTCTCTCTTTCTCTATGTCCCTTTTGTAAGCTGTTCAGTTCTGTGTTGTTATTTTCGTAATTGAGGTTTGACTATTAAAATCTGT